CTGGCGATGAGCGGTGAGTTTTTTGAATCGAAGCGAAGCTCCCCGGTGCCAGGCGGGGCGGGGGTGTCTTTTGTTGAGGCTACTTCAAGTTTCTTGTTGTGTCTTTTTTGAGGGTTCCCACAAGTGGGTGTCTTCTTTTTTCTCGTTTTTGCTGGGGCTACTTCAGGCTTCTTGGTGTGTCTGTTTTTGAGGGTTGCCACAAGTGGGCATGTCTTTTGTTGAGGCTCCCCAGTTTTCTTGTAGCTTGAAAGGGAAACTTCAAGAGGAGCATCATGTGTTTGTGGATTTTAAAGCAAAACATCACGTGTCTGTTGGCAAAGAGGACAATCATGTGGGCTCATGTTGTTCCATTTCTTCTCCGCAAATCTACCAAAACAGGAGTCCACACCAACGGCTCAACCGGAACTCGCCGAAAACCTGCACCAGAAGTGTTCTTTAAACTGGCGCAAAAGAGAAATGTGCCTAAGGGTCCGTTGTATCTTCTAAAGAGGTAGACTTTCAAGCCCTGATGATCCCTGATGACTGACCTTAAGGGACTCAAAAAGGGTCTCAAAGGGATTTCTAGCTCAACCAAATCCCGAGGCAAGGATTTGGGGGATTGTTGGCTGACTTAGACGAAGGCTAGACAAAGGCAGCTAAAGGTCAGTGCTGCGATACTAAGCCTGCTATGGTTCAGGTGGGTCTGATTTTTGGAGGCTACCCTTTTTGTTTAGGAAAACCAACAAGCAACGCAAGCATTTTGTGGGGTCCAACTAATCTTTCACACAGCCAGTGTCTCCCCCCCATTTTGAGGGCTTTGGGCTTCCAGGTGAACTGAGCGATCCGGTCCACCAACGCTGGGGGGAGTTTATCATGGGGGAAGTTTGTTTAGTGTCTGCAAGCAGCTGGAAATCGGGTTGAACTTGTTTCAAGTTGATTTCAACTTGCATCGACACACACAACTTGTGACACCTTGCGTTGCCTCAAGAAAAGAAGCTAAAACAAGATATGTAGGTCTGGGCTGCCCTCGGATCCTCTTCTAAAAGTTTAACTTTTAGTGGGTTAAATGAAAACCACCACTAAACACTACAAGGCTAAAAGCTAAGCGGATGGCTGGGAGCCACCAAGAGGTGTATGACTTTTCGAGGGCACCCTGTTCAGCTTTGTTGAACGGGAAACCCATCAACGCAACCCCGACCATTTTGTGGGTCACCCGATTTTGACCCAGTCAACACTGGCCTGATTTACCTTTGGATTCCATGGAGTTTTTGAAAAAGAAAGAGACGGCATCCTGGATACCCAAGCAGCACAAGGGGTCACCGGGCTTCCCCTCAAAAGTTGATCAACTTGCCGGTGTCCCTTGCTTGCAGCGGCCGCAGCTTTTGCAGCGTCCCGTTTACGGGGCAAAAAATGCGGGAAACTGCGGCTCGGCAGCCCCGAAAATTGGATGGATGGCTGCGGGGTCGCAGGAAAACCCCGGGCGTTCTGTCCAACCCAAAGCTCGCTTCCTGAGTTGATTGCCCAAAAAAAGTCCAAACTTTTTGTTTACCCCCAAAATGGTCTTCCCAAAAAGTGTAAAGTCCATGAACTCAGGGAGTGAGAAAGAGGAGTGCTGATTCGGGGCATGTCTTCATGGCCCTTTGATCTCGTCGAGTTGCAAGGGGTTGATTGCAACCGTCCATTCTTGTAAAAACCATCGCCCGTTTTGAAAACCAGCAAGCCGTTTTCCCCGGGTGTCTGAAGGTTAGAAAGGATCGGATCCGTGGAAAGAATGGGGGAGGATCCCCTAGCTGTACCCATTTTTTTCCCGGGGAGCCAAGGGAAGGGATTGGCTTGCTGTGCAGAAGGTTCTGCATCGAAGCAAGGGGAGCCATGGGTTGATACTTTGGCCACCAGTGGACCAGTCACTCTGGCAGGCTGGTCTTTGTGGTAAAGAAGAACAATCCCAGCTGATATTTGAATCTCCCGAACCACGCCCCAAGCATCCAAGACGGCGCCGTGCCTTTTGCTAGTCTTTCATGCGGCAACAAACAAGTATACATGGTCCATATATATATATATTATATATATATGTGATTCGGGCACGAGCCTGTGCCCAGGCAATGGGTAAGTTGGGGTAAACAAGCCACAAAAGAAAGGTTCCCCAAAAGCAAACCAATCCCCGGTCCCAAAGATCAGGGTTTCCCACACACCAGAGAACAACAACCAAAAGGGAAATACCAAAACAAGTAAACAAGTACCCGCAACCTTGATCGACGATGAACCGCACGGGCGGACCCCACCAATCTGCCCCGGGCCGATGTCTCTTTCTCCACCGACACGAAGGTGATCGACGCGGGGACCCGGCGACGCTCATCCGAGGCGCGACGGACCCGCAAACTTGAGCCAAACATCACAGGTCGGTCACTACCGCGACGTCCCTGATGATGAAGTTAACCATGGCTAATCACACCCCCCTCACGAGGAGTCCGTCATTTGACGGGCGGAGCGTGCCATTTACTGATAGGATTTAACTGCTCGCATGTGTCCGCAAACAGCTGGACACTACCGCCGTCAGCGGTGGAACAAACCCACAAAGGCAGTTGCGCGACATCCCGGGCATTAAATTCCCGCCACCACCCCGAATTAATCGGGGTAACGCTGTCCAACACACCTTGTGGAAGAGTCCACATGACGGCACTAGGCCACAACTGTTTGCATCAACAATGCAAGAAGTTTAATTCTTATCAGAAGCCATGAAATAAAGGATAACGTATGTCCATTAGTACCCTCGCCTATCGGCAAGAGGTACTCCTGATCATGCGTACCTGAAAAATGCTTGAATTCCGCAAACCTGGGAGTATCCCCCCATCAGTTTGCTTCCCCTCTCACTCACACTACTTCATGATGAGCACGACCAGCAGCCGGGCAGCGGTACGGAAGAGACATGATCTCCGCGCCTCAGCGGTTCGGGAGGAACATCACCATCTCCGCACCGCGCTGACCATTGGAGAATGGACGCAAGCCTATCGGCCGCAATCCTCGTGACTCAGCCTATCGGCTATCGTCACGTCTCCTCCGGTCACGTCCGCCCCGCGCACGGTCCCTATCACGATCCCTCTCGGATCTCCTGCGATCATCTCGCCTTCGATCCCGCTCCCGATCGTGTGATTCATCATCACGACGATCTCGAGCATCGTCCCTCCTCCGGTCACGATCTTCGTCGCGCCGCGGACGATACCTTCGCCTTCTCGATTCTCGAGAATCCCTGGTGTCCACTGTCCTAACGGACCTCCGAGAAGGAGTACGGGATACATCCGAATCTCGACGTCCTCTCCCGAGGCGAGAGTTCGACACTATCTGGTTAAGAGCCTCCAACGCCGAAGCACTCTCACCATTCCTGATGAAATCCCTGACCTGCTTATTCAGCACCCTATCGGGTGACATCGTCAGGAAAGCGTTCACCACCGAACTCTCCGGCAACACCAGGAAGTGACCCTCCACCGAGCTCGCAGCTGCTCGCTCCGCCGACTGCAACCTGATCTCACCCCCTTCAGGCTTCTTTGCCATCGCCTTGGAGGCCGTCAAAGGCGCTACCGCGTCCTTTGCCGAAGACCTGCCAAGCGCGGAGTGAAGATCATCTCCACTAGCTTCTCTCGCTGCCGCACCTGGTCTGCTGTCGACGTCATCAGGCCTTGTTGACGCCTCCCGCTTTGTCGACTCCTTCACAGTCTCATCGGGATCCCAACGGGATTTCCTTTCTCTCCTCTGCCCTTCGGCCGACCCCCGGCTACCGCCAGGAGCGTCATCTCCGCCTATCTTCTCCTTCTTGACCTCAACCTTCGGTTCGGCCTGCTTTGTCTCCTTAGCTTCAGCCTTCGGAGCCGGAGCATTCTTCGCCTCAGATACTGAAGCGGCCTTCCCTTTTGGCTCGGCCTTTGGAACCGGGGTCATTTTAGCCTTCGCACTCGGCCGGGCTCCTTCAACCGCTATCGCGACCCAAGTCTTCTTCGGTTGAGCCACAGTTGCATCAACCTCCATCGGAGCCGGCCCAGCATCAGCCTTTGCTTTTGCCTGTGAGACAGATGGACTATCGCCCTTACCAGACCCTTTTCCTGGCACTTCACCTGACTTTGGTGGTGGGCCGGAAGGACTACCGCCCTTACCGCCCTTTTCCCCCTTCTTCCCTTTTCCTTTTCCGCCCTTGACGATCGGCTCCTGCTTAGGACCGCGCAGCATGATGCACCGATTGAAGCCCTTCGATGTTCACGTCCAATGGCTCCGGTTGACGACCATCAAGAACCGTCCTCACCCTTTTGGGTCGCGGAAGGGGGCGGGAGGCTCCGACTGCCCGGCACTGATTGCCTTCTGCACCTTGGCTATCGCCTCCTTCAATCTCTTCTTCTCATCGTACCCTGTCTCTGATACCATGTACTTCCTGAGATCCGATATCAACGCATGGCTGGCCAGGATGTCCACGTCCTTCCGATGGGTCGGATATAATGGAGTCAGATGCCCCGCCGCGGAGCCAATCACGTACGCCATCGGGATATAGAAGGACAAGTACGTGTCATGGCGAGCGAACTTCCTAACGGAAGTCGTCATACGCCTACCCCACTGAGCAGCATGCACTGGGTTAGCTCGGAAGTACTCAGTGACCGAATCAAATCTATCGACTTGGTTGGTCTTGATTAGGTGCTTCGCCACCCACTTCTCCACGAACGCATCCGAGGCCGAAATCCCCGACACATAGGAGAATTGGAAGAGCACCTTCGCCAGCTCATCCCACGCCGTATCGACTCCTCCCTTGTCCTCACCAAGATAAGGGGGCAGTCTGATGCCGCTCTGCACCGTCATCCTCAGGTCAGACGCCATCGAATAGGAAATCAAGTTCCTCTTGATAACTCCGACCACTTCGGATGGGATCCTCTTGGGCTTGAACTGCCTCATGCTCTTCACCCACTCCGGGACGATACGGCACCTCTCGAAGTCACTTTCGTCCGCGTTGGGGATGAAGTTCGGGTAGAAGACCGGGAGCGCAC